TAAATAACTCAGTTTTTATTCATAAGGCCCGTTGATTAGGAGAGTTTAAGCGCATTTGCATTTTTTTTTTGTCACTGTTTTAATACGAATGTCTGCACTGGCAAACACTAATGCCGTGATAATCATGTATACAATACATTTCTGGTATGCAGTTTTGTAGCCAATTTAATTTTAGGATAATAAAGTGCAAGTTTCAATTGGCTACAAAATACCGTTGATTTTTAAGATTTTTTTTCTGACGGTGTCATGTTTTTTCCCATATAAAGTGTGCTCGAAAATTTTTTTATGTGGAAGAGAATGCCGAGTATCGTCAACAAAAAAAATTGTCAAAAATCAACGGTACTTTCTTGCCACTTGCAACTTGCACTTTATTATCCTAAAATTGAATGGGCTAGCCCGAACTGCATACCAGAAATTTTTCTAAAAATTGCGAATAAAAAGTTTAAAAATTTGTCGAATAATTTTTGTATAAAATTTGAAAAGGGGATTTATGTAGCTTTTATAAAAAATATTAAACATAAAATAAACCATGGAAATATAGCCAAAACCTCTTCAAAGTAAGGCGAGTCTATTCTAATGACCGCCAGTGTACATATGCTGTTGCATGCTACGGTTGCTGGTGCTTATGCTAAACCAGGGATGCCAACTATTTTAAGTATAATTCCCCCAATATTAAAAAAAACTCATATTTTCAATTGTATTCCCCCAGAATAACTTTTAGTATTTAAAGCACTTCAATCTAATTTTTATTAAAAAAAACAAGATTTATCATTAATTCTAATGAGATAATAAGGGCAGTCTTTTTTAATAATGTATAAAACTAATACTTCTGAGCATATTTCGTAAAGCATATCTTCATTAATTTATTTCGAACATAGATGGATTATTAGTTAGAATCACATATTTCTCGATGCAATTTTTGAGATTGTCTAAAAGTCGCATTAAAATCAATAGAGGTTTTATTTTTAAAAAGTTGGTTTTTAAGTGAAATTGCCTCCATAGTATCAATGCCAAGCTTTTTTCTGCTTTCAGCTTTTTTTTTAAACTAAATTTGGAAAAATTCTCTATATATTGCATTGCCTTTGATATCCAAACGGTTGTATGAGGCAATTACGTTATATTTTAAATCCGCAATATCGTAATGAGAGATTGTTATTACAAGTTGCAAGGAATGTTCTAATAGAAATCGTTTGTATGTATATTGGATTCCCCCAAAATTTAAGCCATTCCCCGCTTCGCCCCAGAAATTCAAATACCATCAAAATCGGCGAATTCTCCTCGTGGTGGCATCACTGCACCTAACACACACCACATTTTGTTTTGGCTCTCTTTTTCTTTACGTTTGCTTTAGTTATGTATTTAGAGGGGTGTCTTCTGCGGCGAAGTGGCAAGCAAGCAATGAGTGCAGCTCCGAAGGGGAACGTGTGTTGCGCTGTTGAACATCATTTCCCCTTAATCTCATACGATTTTCAGCGTGTATAATAGCGTGGTCTTCTACCCATTACCATCGATGGCAGACTGCGGTGCGGTTGAATGTCTATTTTTGTTTTTTCTGTTTTTCTGTCTGTCTAACTTTGCCTTTTTGCTTTATTTTGCAGCGCAGTCTCTTTGGTTTGTATTTTACGTTAGGCCATTTCTGTTGTTTTGCTGCTTCGAAAATATATACGTATGTATGTATGTATATACATATGTAGGCGATATATTTAGATACATACTGTATCGGTCATATCTATAGCACGCCATTTCAAAGCGATATTGTGTGCCACTTAGGTTTATTTATTTATTTTTAAGAATTTTCAATTAAAATACAGTTCATCCTCAGACAAACCCCATATAAACCCAAGTGTAACAATTTGTAGAAAACTACAAAAAAGTGCAACAAATTTCCACCTAAATTTCAAACTTTTTTCTCGGAAGTGTAAGAATTTTTTTGAGTACACAGTTTTTTTTTGCCCCTTCAATTTTAGTCTAATAATGTGCAAGTTTCAAGGGGCTAAAAGTTACCGTTGATTTTTTAGAATTGTTTTCGCCAAAGGTGTTGCGGATTTCTTCCATATACAAATAAATTGAGTTTATTCATAATATGGAAGCCAATGCGACAAAAAAAATCTAAAAAATAAACGGTAATTCGTAGCCACTTCAAATTTGCACATTATCAGACTAAAATTGAATGGGCTAAAAAACTGTGTACTCAAAAAAATTCTAACACTTCCGAGAAAAAAGTTTGAAATTTATGTGAAAATTTGTTGCACTTTTTTGTAGCTTTCTACAAATTATTAAGTTTGGGTTTGTATCGGGTTTGTCTGAGAATGAACTATATTTTAATTGAAAATTCTTAAAAATTAATAAATAAACATAAGTGGCACACAATATCACTTTGAAATGGCGTGCTATAGATATGACCGATACTGTATGTATGTAAAATGTTTTTAAGAAAACATCATTAGTTGTACAAATGTGTGTATGTACATTCATAATTGTTTTATATTTTCGCTTGATTCGTGTCCCTCTGGTTTTTGTTACAATTTGTTGTTCGTATTTTCGACAACTAGAAAATACGCTGCCCTGGGGTGAACGAGCCTCCAAGTTTTGGGTAGGCTGCCTTCTCCGAGCGATGCATTTTAAAACTTCTGTTTTTCATTATTTTAATAATTAATCTGGCTAAAGGCCTCGCCAGATAGAAATTCTTTTCTGCGTCACAGGTATACTTTTGACTGACATCGAAGTTAACTCTGGGATTTTGAATAGAAGACGCCACATTGGCAGCGCATGCATTGTCGCAACTGATAAAAATCGCCCAACTCTGAACTTTTGACGCGCGTCAATACGGCAAAACAACAATGTATGGAACGAATTCAGACCAACGGACATTTGGCCAATCAAAATGAGCCGTTTTGTTTGCGGCAACGTTTTCATTAAGGCGCCTCGCAATGTTATTGCGTATTGTCAGTCAAAAGCATCCCTGTGACGCAGAAAAGAATTTCTATCTGGCGGGGCCTTAATGCATTAAATATGTATATATTTTTGGTTTTAGTTTGTTTGTATTTGCCAAATATGTACATATGTATGTATTTAGTTCCCTGCGTTGTCTCCGTCGCATTAGCATTTGTGCTCTCTGAGTGAGCTTTCTTTGCTCTTTGTTGCCGGTCGCTCCATGGCTACTTCTTCCATGGCATCTAAGATATCTAATACTAGTTTTTGTTTTTTTTTTCTTGCTTTTCCATTTGCATTGCTTTCTCTCTGGTTTCAATTCCGTGACCTTCTTTTTACAACTTCAAAGCCATTTCCACAATTGGGTCTATGTGCGGATTTATATTTTTGTGGTAAAGGAAAAACAAGCAAAATATATCACTTCGCCATTGCAATGTGACAGTGATAATGAAATTTAAAACTGGGCTGAATTGAAGCATTACAATTTATGGTAATCGGAAAAACTGAGCGGGATGTCTTCCCATAATTTATCAATTTATGTAAGTTACCGATGCAATTTTAAGAAAAAGCAATTGCTTATTTTATATCGTTAAATTGTATTTTTTCATTAAAAAAAAAACAAAAAATTTATTTAATTTTCAACAAAAAATCTATACATAACACTTGGCCCTAACCGCCAAAATAATGTAAGCGATTTTTTTTCAAAATTTTCCTTTTGATGCAGAAATAGTCCTAGAGCATCTCGATGCATTTCTGCATCAAAAAAAGAAAAAAAAAATATAACAAAAATGTCACTTACGTTATTTTTATTTATTTATTTATTTATTTATTTGTTACAGTCTTGCGACTTAAAAGTACAGATAGGTATTTTTAATATATAACAAAGTATGCGTATATGTAAGTTTAAATTTTCAATTACAAAGCTGTTTATGTTTCTAAAACTATCAAATAACCTATATAAATGTATATTGTCTAACTAGTTTGGTAGCTGGCGAGGCCTAGTCTCCAGTCTACCTTTAAATATGTACTATGTGCAGCAGGCGGAAAGACCTTGTTTCCGCTCCGCGTTGCTCACGAGTTGATAGTCACGGTCGGAAAGGCCGAGTCTCCGATCCATGTTCCCGTCGTCATTAATATGCAAACCCTGACGCTGGATTCCGTGATGTGAGGCGGGCGGAAAGGTCTAGTTTCCGCTCCGCGTTATGGTCGGGCTGTTGGGCATAGTCGGAAGCTTTCGTATGCTAGATCATTTGCTGCTTGGTCGGATGGAAAGGCCTGGTTTCCATTCCGTTCCGTGCTCTCCTACCTAATAGCCAGAGTTTTACAGTGATCAAATAGTTGTCTTTTAAAAGCAACAAAGTTATCACAGTCTTTTACATGTGGCGGTAACTCATTAAAACACTTTAGACCTTTATAAAATATATTTTTTTTTGTCTACCTCTGTTCTATAAAGTGGGAGTCTAAAGCAATTGTTTTCCCTGAGTATATATGAATGAGTTTCATTTATATACCGAAGATTGTCGCTCAGATAGTCTGGAAGTTTACCGTTCTTTATGTTGTATACGAATTTCATAGCATGATAGAAAACCTGTTGCTTAACACTCAACCAATTCATATCTGTGATCATCTCCTGTGTAGGTGTATCGTAACGCTTATTTAATATGAACCTCATAGCTCTATTTTGCATTTTTTGCAATTTCTCGATATTTGCGTCGCTTGCTAAGAAGAAGATTGTTGGGCAGTATGTAAAATGTGTGTTTTGACGGTTAGGGCTCGATATCTTAGATTGAAAAAGGGAGCCCGCAATTAAATTCCGTAATCTCATTAAGATAATCTCAAAAAGGTTTTCGATTCGAACTGTATTAATTTAAGAAGTGGCTAAAAAAATCTTCAAAATTTTTTGGTTAGATTTGAAATGCTTGAAATTTGCAGACCATTTGTTTGGCACTCTCTCACAAAAAACGTATTGCAACCGAAAAATATTTACATAAATAACTGATAGAGATGCAATTTAACTTTTAAATTGGTTGGTCAGTTAATTTTTATTTATTTTTTTTGGGTGTGTTCGATGACAAAATATGCATACACTGCGTTCATTTAAATCTCTTTGCTTTCTTTCCGGATAGATTTTGGTAGATTTTTAGCCTTTGATGGTAAAAATGATAGAAAATAAAGTACAGCTAAAAAGTTGGTAGATCTCTACCAATAAAGTGGTGAAGTCCGTGCACTGGCACGCATTCCCATTAGCCCCGGTAAGAACTCTGGTTACATGGCGGAGCAGTGATCTGATTTTTTGTTATCACAGCAAAGGATGGAGTCCAGTATCCGAACGTCTTGGCTTTTTTTGGCGCCGTTACATCGCTCGTTTGCACTTAGAGACCTGCCCATTTCCACAATAAAATTTCGTGTTCGCCCGAGCAGAGCTCCGCTGTAACCAGATGAGGTTGAGTATCTCTGAAGGTCGCTTGATGCGGCCCTGAAAGTGGAACGGAAAAGAATTTTGGCTAGGGGTTTGAAAAGTTAAAAACGTTTATTTAATAAGAAAATTAGCAAACAAAATTAACTTGAAAAACATTGTGAATATTTAAAAGAAATCAACACGGTGTCGGTAACTTGTTTAAGTACCTGAATGTATGTATGTAGTTAAATTTTCATCGACCATTTTTTCGACTTTGGAAATTCTGCTCTGCCCTAATACAGCGCAATTTTAACCGGAAAAATATTTTAACGCCAAATCAATTTTCTATGTATAAAATAGACTAATTTGCCTGCGAAAGTTTCTCAGTGACATTGCTTTATATTTTAGTCCTTCATTGTGGAGGCAGTGAACTTTCTGACATCTGTTTATCCAAACTTACAATAGTACTCTGGGTGTGCGCATACACTCGTGATCACATAGACTGCAGCCGTCCCCAAGCAACGACCTCAATCCTCTCGTATATGCCTGCATGTGAGCACTTAAAGATGCATAAAAAGAAAACGCGTGCACATTTAATTCAGCAACGAAAAACGAGTATGTACTAAATATATGCATATTTTTCAACGACTTTGCCAACGAATCAGCCGGCCGCCCCCAAATACATATGTATATGTGTACAGTTGTCCACAAAATAATGGGATGGGGATATTTTGACCATGTTTGACCAGTTTTGGCATTTGTCTTTTGTTTATTTAATGTTTATTGTTTTTTATAAAAGTTTAGCTGGTAATACAGCAAACGCCATACAAATTTACATTTCAAAGTTTGTACAAAAATTATAAAAAATTGCATATTTTCACCAAAATTTCAAACTTTTTAAACAGGTTTTGTAGCCCATTTAATTCTAGCATAGAGAAGTGCAAGTTTCAAGTTGAAAAAAAAAATCGTTGTTCTTAAGAATTTTTTTATTGAAGGTGTTTCACGTTTTTTCTATACAAAGCAGATACCGAAAATAGCTGGTCCACATTAAACACATTGTAATTTTTCCTATCATTAACCATTTTTTTTTTACTTTTTGTGATATATCACTCTGAAAGCGTTTTATGCGAGAGAGCTTACGGTTAATGACTATGAGAAATGGAATCGCTGACGAAAATAAAGGCCAACCGCAGTTATATATGATTTTTTTTTTGTTTAAAAGGTGAGTTAGTATGCTGCAGAGAAAATATATGATGAAAATACAACGAAGTAAAACAAACTATAAAGAATAGTAAGTAGAATTAAATATTCTTATTCACTCAAATAACCACCGTTATAAACTTTTTTTTACAAACTTTACACACTCAAACTTTTTTATCACTACTCGTATCCAAGTGAAAAAAGCTGCGGAATTCAACGCTTGATTTTCGGCCCATCTTCTTCCCTTCAATAAGTAAACTATACTAATTAGAAGCCAAATACCGAAGCACTTCACTCAGTATTTTTAACCGACTTCCAAAAAAGGAGGAGGTTATCAGTTCGTTTTTTTTTTTTTTTTTTTTAATTTTATTTTATTTTTATGTATGTTACCGCATAACTATGGACCACGTCATCCGATTTCAATCATTCTTTTTGCATCGGAAAGGTAGTGTCTCAGAGGTAGTCCCAACTAATCTGGTTAAGATCCGATCAGTGGATCATGAGATATATATATCTATTTTTTTTTTTTTATATGAGAGTATTTTTTATATGAGAATTGAAGTCGGTTTTTTTTGCTAAAAATTACTTGTTAACATACCTACTTGCATTTAAAACAAAAACGTAAAAAAAAGGTCAATTCGAAACGTAAAAAAAAACATCAAATCAAATAAAAGTCTAACCAATGCAGATAAGCCAAAAACTTGTTCTGAAAGTTATTGTGAGTGATTTACTTTTTATAACAAGAAATAAATGACAATTTGTGATACAGCAATTAATGGGCCGGTCATCTGTCGGTCACTGATACAAAGTATGTTCGACAATTTTCTTTTATATGCCAGCAAAAAATTTTGCCAAAAATGAACGGGATTTTTTAGCAGCTTGTAACTTGCACAAAACTAAAGATTCTGATGAAAAATTTTGAAATTTTGGTGAAAATTTGCAGAATTTTTATAATTTTTGTACAAACTTCGAAATGTTAATTTGTATGGCGTTTGCTGTATTACCAGGTAAACTTTTACAAAAAAATAATGAACATTACATAAAAAAAGACAAACAGCCAAACTGATGGAAATATCGCACTACTATTATTTTTTAGACCACTGTATATACATTTAAGCGCTAGTTCCTTCATTTTACATATGTACGAGTATACGTGCTATTTTAATTTTAATTTTATTTTTTTGATCTGTTTTCGTGTATGGATGTGTGTTTTTATTTTTTTTTGTTTATTTGCAATTTCACGGACTTTGACACAATCATACGATTTTCAAACTGGTACACAGCTGAGGCTGTTGTTTGGTTGGCAGAATGATGATAGCGGGTTAAGGAGCAGCACTTTGCACTCGCTGTGCTTTGGCAGTCGTCCGCTTTCCGCCTTCTACCCACATACATATGAATTCCGCTGTAGTGAAATTTGTAAACTTTGTATTATTTAAAAGTAAACGTATTGTGATATGACGAAAAGCAATAACGCCGCCATAATAAAAAAGTGAAGGAAAGTTACGGTGTTGTTTTTTGTTAAGAACAAGAATAAATACAGCATGTTTTGCCTTTTCGCGATCACAATTGTTTGTTTTGATTTTTAATTGAAATTGTGCATTCCGCTGTTGTTTTTTATGTACATGTGTATGTATGTATGTACATATATATATATGTACATATGTATGTTGTTGAGTCATAAAAATAATAAATAATTTCGTAATAGTAAACTGGTCAATCAGAGCGCCTTTAGAACGTGGCTGAAAATCAGATTGGACACGTTCTATTATTTTTTCATGTTTCGTGTTTTAACATCACAAACAACTGAGTTGATACTTTTCAATTATTTCTTTGTGATAATGTTGCAATTTCCATTATTTTAAAGTATGCCCCATCTATTGTGGCAGGTACTCCAAATAATGACGTTTGCACCATTTATAGTATATCGCTTATACTCGATGACGTCACTGCTGGGCGCACAGTAGTAATGTATGTATGGATTCGCATTGTTTGAAGCACTTTGAGGAAATGCGACAATGAATCTGTAGCACAAAGTTCAAATTGCGAATTTGATAGGAAATAAAACTTCCCTTGAATACTCTGCGACATGCTTATCAAATTTCGTAAGAATTTGCTTAAGCTTTATGTATTTACGTACACTGAGGGAAATAATGCATAGTAAAAATGAATACTTTATATTTGATTGTTGTTTAAAAATGTTCGTATTTAAAAATAATATTTTCATACAAAATTTATTACGCACGTATTTGACTGTTCACATCTGAGTATGTATATGTAAGTGTACATACGCACCCCAAGCATGCAGAGCGCCGCACTGAGAGCGGTGACAAAACACACATACACACATAGCAAGAATGGTAGAATGAGAGTAGAATTCTCAAGAATTTCTGTCAATCGTGCATACATAGTACATACATATTTATCCGGACAAATCGCGTTCTGTGGTGTTGATGGATATTCAACATTTGAAAGCAAATTCATATGGCTGGGTGTAGCTGAGTGCGCAAAGATGCTTGCCACAAGTTGTTGGTATCCGGAGATGGTCGGGTTCGAATTCCGCTGCAGGCAACATGCAAATAAATTTTTTTTTTGTAGTTTTTTCTTGATTATTCACTTCTCGGATGCTTTTTCAGTACGAACGCGGTCATTTTAATATGCGCGTAATTGAATTGAATATTTACCGATATACAGTACTTTCGTTGACGTTTATAGTAAGATCAATTACGTTTCTATTTGATTTTAATATTTTTTTCCCTCAGTGTAGAAAGAAATAAGGAGTTTTTTTCCAAGTGTTAACACAAATAGCTATAGTAAAATTGCTGTGTTCTCATGAATGGCTTTCGTAGGACTCGTTTAATTACTTTGTACAATTCAACTAATCGAATATTAGACGCGATTAACTAACTTGATTTTTTCATCACAAACTGGCAAAAAATAATGCACACAAATGGCTAACTTTGACATTTGGCAAACATTGTGATAGATGTTCAAAAAATATATTCTACTTAGTAAGAATGTAAAACGACAAAAAACAAATAAATTAAATATGAAGTGCTTATGTAAATAATGTTATTAAATTTTATTCCATCGATTACCGGCTATTTACAAATATAATTAAGATACATAAATGCTTTGCCACAAATGAAATTAGTTGTTATTCATTGTATACAAATTTATGCTTGTATTTATACACATACGTGCACACACCTGCGTTCAACTAATTAGCACCAAAATTAAAAATGGCATTGTTTGCAACTTACGTTTATTTTTAATAACTTTCAATTAAAATGTAATTCAATCCATAACAAAGACCACATAAATAAAAGTTTCAAAGCTTGCACAAATTTCAAAAAATTTAATCAAACTTAAAAAAAATTGCCATTAAAATTTCTAACTTTTTAATCAGAATCTTTAGAAAAAATTTCAGTAGGAAGTTTTGTGCCCTATTTAATACTAAATAGTCTTATGAAGTGCAAGTTTCAAGCTGCTAAGAAATCCCATTGATTTTTGGCATTTTTTTCGGCAGTGTCCTCCCATATAAAAACGAAATTGTCGAACATATTTACTTTGGAAAAAACGTGAAACACCTTCAACTAGAAAAATTCTCAAAAATCAACGGTTTTTTTACCATCTTGAAACTTGCAATTCATTTTACTAAGTGTATGTAATTAATTGGGCACAAAACTGTATACCAAGATGTTTTTTAAACATGCTGATTAAATGTTTGAAATTTTGGTGATCATTTGTTGCATTTTTATAATTTTTGTACAAAGATTGAAATGTAAATTTATATGGTGTTTGTTGTATAACCAGCTAGACTTTTATTAAAAAATAATAAGCATAAAATAAATAATAGGCAAAACTGGTCAAAATAGCGCACTCTTATTATTTTGTGGACAACTGTATGTACGTACTCGTGGGCCGCGAATTTTTATTTTATTCAAAACGACAAATATTCAGCAAATTAAGCACCAACACTAGTTTGGGGGGTTAACGTAGAAACTGGTGATTGCATGTGAAAATGATCGAAGTTGACTTTTTCGAAATACATATGTAAGTATGAAAGTACATACATACCCTGCAGGAAGTGATGTTAGCTTAAATCTAATCGGGCGATGGCCGAAAAAGTCAGATCGGGATATCTCTGCATTAGGTTTCAACTAACTTATAAGTACTACACAAAATATCAATAAGAAAAAATTGGTGTGATTTTTAAAATTTTTATTTATTTAGTTTATTTATCTAAACACTACATACATATATGTATGTTTATTTGTTTACTTATTCTGCTGTAGGTAGTCCCACATTCAAATTCCGTCAGACAACATTAAACTGATAATGTAATAGAATTTCGATCTTCATTTTATTTGTCGTCAATTCAAAAAGGCATCTGTAAAGTGCAGAGAAAAGTGTATTCGAAGTAATTTGTAATGAGGATATTTTTATAGAAAAAGAAAACAAACTCCCGGTTACGTCAGCATTACTCCTGCATGACTTTACAACTCAGTTTAAATTGGTTTTGTCATAGTTAAAAGTGAACTATTTATCGAAATCCCGCAAAAAAGCTAACTGCACTGGTTATTTTTATCAATCGATAATTTTTCACTGCAGGGTATCTACATCGTCGCGTTTTTGTGCGTGGTGTGTGTGTGTGTCGAGCTTGGATTGAACAATTGGCAACTTAAATTAATCTAAGCAAATCTATATAATTTAGTTACCAGGCTACATATCTATATTTGAATAAAAGTTATAGGTAGCTGGATGCAGTAAATGTCAATTAAAGTTGAGAGAATATGTAAAAAATTGCTTACCGGACTACTTTTTAACCGAATTCCAAAAAAGGAAAAGGTTATCAGTTCGTCGGAAAATTTATTTTTTTTTGTTATGTATGTTACCGCATAACTTTGGGCCACGTCAAGCGATTTCGATAATTTTCTAGTCGGGTTTTTTTTTGCTAAAAATTACTTGTATTGTATCATTTTGATTTCAACTTACTTTATTAGGTACACATATGTTAGTCGCAGGGATCCTGTGAAAATTTTGCGACTACTTATTAGCACTAGTACTTAACTAGTTGACAACGCAGTTTATTTTCGATCCTGGGGAATAAAAAGATTGGGTGCCATAACATAACTGTACGGTGAATAACCCATTCTATCCGTCCGTCTGTGCACATGATAACTAGAGTAAAAATTTATGTCACAGATATGTAGGCACTTTGTTAAAACAACTTGAGTGACTTTAGAAATTTTCCCATGGCATTAAAAAAGAATAACAGGGCAATTTTGGCTAAGATAGTTGAAAGACTTTTGTGAGGCAATTGAAAAACAGTGAGCAAGGTAGTTGGAAGGATATGGTTTATTCTGACATGAAAGCTTAATAAAAAAGCTCCCTGCCAACTTTTATGGTGAAAAACTCTTTTGACAGAAAACACGTTATGTCATTGTGCTTGAGCTCTTCGAATAGTCGCAATGGCCGAGTGTTTCATTAGATAGATCCGAGGTTCGAGTTATCGGGCAGAGGAATTTTAATTAAATTTATTATTATTTTATTAAATTTAATTCTCTTTTGTTTTTGATTTTTGTGCTTTAAAAGGAAAAATATATGTATACATAATTTTCAATATCATTTACTAAGAAATTTATTTTTTTTTAGAAAGGAAAATATTTTTTTTTTTAATTTAATTTTTTCTCATTTTGTATTAAATGTTTTTAAATTTAATTTTCTTTAAATTTATAGATTTTATTTTAAAAATAAAACTTTCCTTTTAAATTCCAAGAGCTGGGGTGAGCTGAAAGACATTTGTCAGAGTTTCCCTTGAAAAATTTGATATTTTTGAAAGGGTATCTTAAACACTAAAACTTTGGCTAGTCAATCGATTGCTCTTAATTCAAGGTTGGCCGGTTTTGCAAATGCGCGAAGTTAGACTAAATCCCATATAAGTTTTTGTTTTTTTTTTTGTGATTAAACTTTCATATTTCTGCAACTGTTGGTTGGATCTTTGGAATGGGACCAAAATCACGCTTGCATCATATTTTAAACTTAGCGAAAAATGGGATTTTCGTAAAATTGTTCACAATGGATGTTGTACTGCTGACTTAAAATAAAATATGTATCTCAGTAACAGCTGATGTGAGTCTCTGATAATAATTACAATCCACCGTATAGATAATCGTCATTTTTAGAAATGCATAAAAACTACGTGATTTATGGATTCGTGCGCCGGGTAAAACGTACAAACTTAGACTTCTTTGCTTGTCTATTTTAATCTGTGTATTTTATTTCATTCTTTCCTGTTTGTTTAACCCTTTTCATTATCTTTTGTTTCAAGCCACTCATTTTCTTATTGACTTTGACCTAGAATTCGATTTGGATTTATATATTTCCTCTGTGGTCCTTATCGTAGTTTAAGGTTACAGTTTTCACAGTGTATTTTTTGCTGCTGTTAGTATATGTGGATAGATGGCTACATGTGTAGTGCTGACTTACACTTA